CAGGGGAGCCCCCGGCGTGGCGCGTTCCAGCCGCGCCTCATCCTTGCGTCTTATCCCCATGACTGGTTTTGGCTGTACCATGCCTCGGGTCGGGACGACCGACGTGGGTACGGAAAGAGTGGGTACAGTGCCCAACAGCGGTTCCTGTCCATTCTGAACAGATCTCGTTGTCGCTGTCGCCGCGGCCTGTGTCCATTCGAGACAGAAGGCCGGCTGCCGAACAGCGGCCGCTGTTGGTTTGGGACAACATGTGTTGTTGGGCATTGTACCAATTTTTCCCGTACCCATTTCGGGCGCCCAAATCAGGGGCCTGGGCGGCGCAGGACGTGCGTGCGGGGTGCTCGCGCCTGCAGCGGCCCCGCGCGGCGCCTGAGAGACGTGCGGGTGCACACTGAGGACGTGGGCTTTGGCTGGCAGGAGGGGAGGAGGGAGGGAGGGAGGAGGCAGAGGAGGGAGGCGCAGGAGGAGGAGGAGGAGGAGGAGGAGGAGGAGGAGGAGGAGGAGGAGGGAGGAGGAGAGGAGGAGGAGGAGGAGGAGGGGAGGAGGAGGAGGAGGGAGGAGGAGGAGGAGGAGGAGGAGGAGGAGGAGGAGGAGGAGGAGGAGGAGGAGGAGGAGGTAGGCGGAGGATGAGGATGGGGGAGGGGGAGGCAGGACACGTAGGAAAACGAGCGGGAGGAGGGGCAGGAGTTGTGGGTGGAGGAGTGTCACTGGAAGGAGGAACACAATCAGATCTGCAGGCAAATGGGGCAAGATAATTGGCAGGGGAAGGGAGCATAGTGATGTTAGCAGCAGAAGGTGGAGCAGAAGCAGCAGTAGAAGGTGCAGAGAGTGGATATTAAGGAAGAGGAGGGACAGGAGGTGGCGCATCGCGAGAACGAGAAGGAGAAGGAGGTGAAGGGGCAGGATGATCAAGATGAGGGATGACCAGGCGTGAGGGAGGATGACTGGATGTAGGAGGATGACGAGGACGAGGAGGAGGATGAGCGTCAGCAAAAACACATTAGCAGGAGAAGGCAACGCTGGCTTGGCAACCACTTGGGGTGCATCACATTGAAGGATTCACCTGCTGACGTCGTCGCGGTCGCAGAGTGGTGGCGGTGGTGGCTGCGGTGTACCCTTGGTCCTCCGGCTTTCAAGCGGGAGGACGGGATGCAGGGTGTGCAGCGGGGGGCACAGGCGTAGCGCGATGATGAGCATTGGATTGGACAGTGGGAGCTAGGAGGCGGAGTCCGAGGGCCGACTCGAACGAGGGGAAGAAACATGACAGGGGCTGTTGGCGATGATGATAGGAGGATCAGGAAGAGCAGCAGGAAGGAAAGGAGAACCAGGCTGATAAGCAAGGGGTGGCATTCACCATCAGCTGTCGAGGAAGGGATGGCGATGATGATGGTGATGATGATGCTGATGACGGTGATGATGTTGTTGATGATGATGCTGATGGATGTGGTGATGTTGGTGATGCTTAGGATGGTGATAATGAGGAGGAGGTTGGTGAACATGATGATGATGCTGATGATGACAAGGATGAGGATGAGGATGAGGATGAGAGCAAGGATGAGAAGGTTTGCTTCCCTAGGCCGCCCTCCCGACGCGTCCCGACCCGGCCCGACAGGCCCGACCCGACCCTCTAGGGTTCTCGCGTATCCATTCGTACATGCATCATACATGCTGTAAAGTCCAGCCGACCCGACCCAACCCGCCCGTTAGGGTCCAACCTGACCCGACCCGACCTTCCGGTTCGGGTCCGCCCGACCCGACCCGATGCACCCGTTTGGGTCTGCCCGACCCGTCCCGTCCCGTCCCGACCCGACCCGTTACGGTTCTCGCGTGTCTTGTCGTTGATGCATCATACTTTAATGTCCCGCTCGTCCTACCCGACCCGGCCCGACCAGTCCCGACCCGACCCGACCCGACCCGCCCGTTAGGGTCCGCCCGTCCCGACCCGACCCGACCCTTTAGGGATCTCGCGTGTCCATTCGTTGATGCATCATACTTTAATGGCCCGCCCGCCCCCCCCCCCACCCGCCCGTTAGGGTCCGCCCGACCCAGCAAGACCCGCCCGTCAGGGTTCTCGCGTGTCCCCTCAGTGCTGCATCATATTTTCATTTCCAGCCCGCCCGACCCGACCCGTTCGTTTGGGTCCCGCTCGTTAGGTCCCGACCCGACCCGCTAGGGTTCTCGCGTGTACATTCGATGACGCATCATACTTTAATGTCCCGCCCGCCCGACCCGACCCGCCCGTTAGGGTCCGACCGACCCGACCCGATCTGCCCGTTTGGGTCCGCCCGACCCGACCCGATGCACCCGTTTGGGTCTGCCCGTCCCGACCCGATCCGTTAGGGTTCTCGCGTGTCCATTCGTTGATGCATCATGTTTCAATGTCCCGCCGACCCGCCGCGACCCGCCCGTTAGGGTCCGACCCGACCCGACCCGATCCGCCCGTAGGGTCCGCCCGACCCGTCCCGTCCCGTCGACCCGACCCGCTAGGGTTCTCGCGTGTCCATTCGCACATGATTCAGTCTTTAATGTCCTGCCCGCCCGACCCGATCCGCCCGTTAGGGTCTGGCCCGACCTGACCCGAGCCGCCCGTTAGGGTCCGCCCGACCGCTCCCGCCCCGTCGACCCGACCCGCTAGGGTTCTCGCGTGTCCATTCGCACATGCATCATACTTTAATGTCCCGTCCGCCCGGCCCGACCCGCAGACCCGACCCGACCAGAGCCGCCCGTTAGGGTCCGCTTGACCCGTCCCGTCCCGACCCGACCCGCTAGGGTTCTCGCGTGTCCTCTCGCACATGCATCATACGCCCCTCTCGCCCGACCCAACCCGCCAGTTAGGGTCCGCCCGTCCCGACCGGACCCGCCCGTTAGGGTCCGCTCGACAGGACCCGTCCCGTCCCGTCCCGACCCGACCAGCTAGGGTTCTCGCGTGTCCATTCGCACATGATTCAGACTTTAATGTCCCGCCCGCCCGCCCCGACCCGGCCAGTAGGGTCCGACCCGACACGACCCGAGCCGCCCGTTAGGGTCCGCTCGACCCGTCCCGTCTGGACCCGACCTGCTAGGGTTCTCGCGTGTCCACTCGCACATGCATCATACCTTCATGTCCCGCCGACCAACCCCGACCCGCCCGTTCGGGTCCGACCCGTCCCGATCCGACTCGCCCGTTAGGGTCCGCTCGACCTTGCCCGTCCCGCCTATTAGGGTCCGCGCGACCTGACACGTCCCGTCCCGACCCGACCCGTGAGGGTTCTCGCGTGTCCATTCTCACATGCATCATATTTTACTGTCCCGCCCGCTCGACCCGACCAGCCCGTTGGGGTCCGACCCGTCCCGACTGGACCCGCCCGTTCGGATCCGCTCGACTGGACCCGCCCCGTCCCGACCCGACCCGTTTGTGTTCTCGCGTGTCCATTCGCACATGCATCATATTTTGATACCCCGCCGACCCGACCCGACCCGCCTGTTAGGGTCCCATCCGTCCCGGCCCCTTCATAGCATTATTTCTCCTCGTTATCCTCACTTCTTATCCTCTATTCTCCTCGTCCTCAGCCTTCTCCCTTCTCTCCCCTGTTTACCCCCTTCTCTCATCCTCCGCATTGTTTCCTGACTCCCCCTTTTCACTACCCCTCCCTACTCCCTCACTCTACCTCTCCCCCCGCCATCCTTAGTTATCATCCTCTCCCTCTCCCTCTCACCCTCTCCCTCTCTCCCTCTCTCACCCTTCTCATGTTTCCTCGAACTCACCCTCTCCCTTCTCTCTCTCTCCTGCCCCTCGCTTATCCTCCTCGCTCCTCCTCCGCCCTTCTTCTCCTCACTTCTCCTTTCACTCCTCCTCTGCACTCTTCTTCCTCCTCGTCCTCAGTCCTCCTTGTCACTCTCCCCTCCCCTCGTGAAGTGGAGGAGGGAATCGATCCCCATTGCCAATGTTTCTATGTGCTTGAGGAGGGCTCCTGGGAGTTGCTGGACGCCTTGGAGGTTGGCATTTTCTAGGCCCACCCTGAGCCTGATCCCCTAGGCCTACCCTGGGCTTACCCCTGGGCATACCCTCTAGGCCTTCCCTAGGCTTACCTGCAAGCCTTGCGCCTAGGCCTACCCTCTAGGCCTTCCCTAGGCCTACCCCGTAGGCCTACCCCAAGGCCAAACCCCTAGGCCTACCACCTGGGCCTACCCTAGGCCTGCCCCTAGCATACCCTAGGCCTACGTCCAGGGCTTCCCCTAGGCCAACCCTAGGCCGACCCCTAGGCCTTGGTTAGGGCCTGCCCTAGGCTACCCTAGGGCCTTGGGTAGGGCCTACCCTAGGCTCCCCCCCCGGTTCTATACCCTCATAGATCAGCTCGCAGCAGCAGGAGCCTGCCCTCCACCTGGTCGTCCTCTTCCATGCACCCCCCTTCCCCCGCGATGCCCTGGACCACCCTCAAACCATCCCAAACCGTCCAGAGTTACAACGTGAACCTTGTTCGAATCCTTTGAAGCCGTCATCCTTCTTCACAGTCCTGCGATGGGGTGGTGGAGGACGAGAGGAAGGGGCGAGGAAGCGGAAGAGGGGGCCGAGATGGCGGAGGAGGGGGGGAGCAGGAGCAGGGATGAGCTCAAGATGGAGAACGGAGGAGGAGGCGGAAGAGGCGCCGGGAGAAAACTGTGGAGAGGAGTCGGAGGAGGCGGGGCAGAGGAAGGAGAGCGGAGGAGCAACGTGAAGCGAGGAGGAGGAGGTAATTAGCCGCCGCCGACGCCGCCGTCGTGGTCGTGGTCGTGGTCGTTGTCGTGGTCGTTGCCGTGGTCGTGGTCGTGGTCGTCGTCGTTGCCGTGGTCGTGGTCGTGGTCGTCGTCGTCGTCGTCGTCCTCGTCCTCGTCGTCGGCGGCCACCGTCGTCCGCGGCCACCGTCCTGCGTCCGTCTGGCCGCCTGTCTGCGCGCAAATGTTCTCGGGTTGCCTCCGGTGGCCTCGCGCCGGGCGCTTGCGTGCGCGGGCGCGCGCGCCGTGGAAGCCGGTGCCGCGGCCAGGTCTGGCTGGCTGCCCACTGGGACAGGAGCGCACCGCGAGGGGCGGTCCGACGGGCCCAGGGCGGAGGTGTAGTTCTTCCCTTGGCATCGCTCGGACGTCTGCGTTTTTTCTTCGGCGAGGACCATCGAGGAGCATCCTTGATAATTTGGCGAAAAAGCCACACACGAAACCGAAACAAACACAGGGAATGGACGTCCGAGCGATGGCCAGTTCCCGGGTGCTCTCGATGCGCTCTGGAGCGCTTTGGAACGTCGCGGCGCCCGATGCATCCTCCAGACCTGCGAGTTAGCCGAGAAAGGAACAGGTCGGACCTCGAAGGGGCTTGATGTTCCCTGGATCTTTCCATGGCCGTTCCTCCAGCACTCCTCGTGCATCCAGGCGCTCTTGGGGCCAAAGAGGGGCCTCGTTCCTTCTTTAGCATTCCTCGTGGTAATGCAGGATGGTGAATCCGACATTCCAGACGCTTCGTGGAACTCCACCAGATGAGTTTCCAGAGAGTTGCCCTGATCAGGGATGTGGAGGAGCATGCAGTGTAAGAAAGGGTTGGCTAAGACGTCATACCTTACGAGGGGGGATGGAGGGGGAATCGGAGGAACAATATGAGTAGGGAGAGGGGGAGGGAGAGGAGGGAGGAAGAAGGATGAGGAATAGGCGGATGAGGAAGAGGAGGAGGAGGAGGAAGAGGAGGAGGAGGAGGACGTAGGAGGAGGTGGAGGAGAGGAGGAGGAGGAGGAGGACCAGTGGAAACCCAAGACTCATCAACGATGTTGGAACAACACCCTCCCTCCAAGCTCCCTCTTCATAGACCCATATAAGGTTTGTTTCCCCCAAGGGAACTGCCTCGTTGGGAGACAACCGTTTGAAAACCCTGAAGCGTGCCAAGACACCGTTCTTGGGATTCCAACGCCACGAATCAACATGACTGCTGCATCTTGACGATCCAGAAATGTACCAGAACGCCATTCCTGGGACTTCAACAACGCGGATCAACGTAACAGTTGCGCCCTCACAGTCCTGCGTCCTTCCAAAACACAAGTTTTGGCATGCTGGCCATGGGAATTCGTAGTTTCTTGCGAATGCTTACAGCGAATGTGCGCGGCCCAAAGGCGAGCCACATTTTGAAAGCGACCTGCCCTCAATCTGCGAAGGTTTCGCACATTTTACCTAACAGCGTAGACTGATAGGTTTCTAATGGGCCAAAAAAAGCTCACAGATCACTCCACAGGGGGGTCCGGGCAGGTGTTGGGAGTTGCCGGGCGGGTTGAGTCCACCTCGTTTTTCACCAACAGTCACACACTTCGTGCTCTTCGAGTTCCCAGAACTCCATTCCCAGGCTCATTCTGAATAACCGGATGCAACAGTCACACACTTCGTGCTCTTCGAGATCCCAGAACGCCATTCCCGGGCCACCTTTAGAATAACCGGATGCAACAGTCACACACTTCGTGCTCTTCGAGTTCCCAGAACTCCATTCCCGGGCCACATTCTGGAGGGCCGGATGCAACAGTCACACACTTCGTGCTCTTCGAGTTCCCAGAATTCCATTCCCGGGCCACATTTTGGATGCCCGGAGCCAACTGTAGGCCACTTCGTGCTCTTCGAGTTCCCAGAACTCCATTCCCGGGCCACATTTTGAATGCCCGGAGCCAACTGTAGGCCACTTCGTGCTCTTCGAGTTCCCAGAACTCCATTCCCGGGCCACATTTTGAATGCCCGTAGCCAACTGTAGGCACTTCGTGCTCTTCGACTTCCCAGAACTCCCATTCCTGGGCCACATTTTCAGCAGGGGCAAGAGCACGACGAGGAGGAGGACGAGCAAGACCAGGAGGACGAGGACGAGCAGGAGCAGGACGAGGAGCAGGAGGAGCAGGAGAAGAAGGACGAGCAGGAGGAGGAGGAGGACGAGCAGGAGGAGGAGGACGACCAGGAGGAGGAGGACGACCAGGAAGAGGAGGAGGAGGAGGAGGGGAGGAGGGAGAGGAGGAGGAGGAGGGAGGAGGAGGAGGAGGAGGAGGAGGAGGAGGAGGAGGAGGAGGAGGAAGGAGGAGGAGGAGGAGGAGGAGAGGACGAGAGGAGGAGGAGGGGGGGGGAGAGTACCAGGAGGAGGAGAACGAGGACCACCAGGAGGAGGAGGAGGAGGAGGAGGAGGAGGAGGAGGAGAGAACACCAGGAGGAGGAGGACGAGCAAGACGAGGAGGACGAGAACGAGGACGACCAGGAAGAGGAGGAGGAGGAGGAGGAGGGGAGGGGGAGGACTACCAGGAGGAGGAGGAGGAGGAGGAGGAGGAGGAAGAAGAGGAGGAGGAGGACGAGGAGGAGGAGGAGGAGGACGAGGAGGAGGAGGGGGGGGGAGAGCACCAGGAGGAGGAGAACGAGGACCACCAGGAGGAGGAGGAGGAGGAGGAGGAGGAGGAGGAGGAGGAGCACCAGGAGGAGGAGGACGAGCAAGACGAGGAGGACGAGAACGAGGACGAGCAGGAGGAAGAGGAGGAGGAGGAGGAGGAGGAGGAGGAGCAGGAGAAAGAGGAGGAGGAGAGGAGGCAGGCTGAGGCTGAGGCTGTGACTGCGACTGCCGTTGCCGCTGCGACTGTCATCGCGAATGCGACTACGACTGCGAGAACAGCAGAATTCGACAACTGGATTTTCATCTGAATCTTAAGGGGAATGCTTTCAGATATGCTTCTACACATCGCTGTTAGGTTGCTTTGCCGGGATAATTTCAAAATAACGTGCGCGGCCCTAAGGCGAGAATCACATGTTGAAAACGACACGCCCCCAATCTGTGAAACGCTTGCAACCGTTAGACGAATGCGCGCGGGGCAAAGGCGAGAGCCACTCTTCGACCCCCCCCCGCACTCATCATGCGGAACTGTTGTCAGTTTCTAAGCTTCAGTATCATAAGTGGTGAGGAAGTCTCATGTGAAAGGCCCGCCCCGCCCTTTCGATCGGCCTCGGGGTGCGACAGGGAGGAGTTATTTATAAGGACAAGGCGTGGAGGAGGAGGGCGAGCAGAAAGACCAGAGGCTTCATGAAGTCTCTTCGGATGCCTTTCGAGAGCTTGGAGTCCTCTGAGAGCGTCTTGGAGGTTTCTTGGCAGTCCCAGAGGCCTCTTGGGGCGTCTTGGGTGCTTCTGGGGGGGGGCTTCTTGGGGCCTCTTGGGGATCCCATGGGAGCCTCTTGGATGCATCTTAGGAGCCTCTTGTGGCCTCCTGGGCAGCTCTTGGGGTCGTCTAGGGGCACACCCTTGGGAGCCTCGGGGGCCATCTTAGGGTAAGCTTGGAGGAGATCGATCAAAGGATGGGTCGTACTGGATTAGGCACTCCCCCCACGAGGCCAACATGTGGCAATAACCTTAGTAAGTTCGATGATGTTGGTACTCGCTGAGGCCTGGGCGTCTTAGACGCCTCTGGGGGGATGTCTCTTTGAGCCTCCTGGGGTGTCTTTGAAGCATCTTGGGGGCCTCTTCGGGCCTCCTGGGCGGCACCTCTTGGGGCTGCCTTTGGGCACCCTTGGGAGTCTCGAGGGCCATCTTGGGCCCATCTTGGAGGAGATCGATCAATGGTCGGGGGCTCCTCAGCCAAGGTCCTCCCCCAGATGTGGCCAAACCCTTGGTAAAGCAAACAATGATGTTTGCCTTCTCGCCGAGGCCTCTTGGGCGTCCTGGGTGCCTCTGGGGGTCTCTTGGAGTGTCTTGGGGTCTCTTGGGAGCCTCATGGGGCATCTTGGGGGCTTCTTGAGGGCCTCTTGGGGACTCCTGGGCGACTCTTGGGACCGTCTTGGGGCACGCTTTGGAGCCCCGGGGCCATCTTGGAGGAGATCGATCAAGGGAGAGGAGCTTCCCAATTAGGTTCCCCTCCAGGGGGCCAAAATGGAGCCAACACCTTAGCAACAACAGTGATTCTGGCTTGCTCGCCGAGGCCATCTTGGACACTTCAACGACACGCGAAACGTTCCCTCCAGACCCAGGGGGCGGGGGTAGGGATAAGGAGGGGGGGTCAAGACACCCCCTAGATAGCAAGCCGTCTAGCTCACTCCCACCCGCCCTCCCAACACATAAGTAACACCCGAGCCTCAGCACATTCAACGGTCATCTTTGGATGGACAGCTACTGGCTTCTGGGAACCAACACCGACACCACTGCGCCACGCTGGGGCGAGGTGCGCCACGCGTGCCAGGCGCGCCACGCGCGCCAGGCACCCTTGGGGCTCGAGCGTGCCAGGCACGCCTGGTGCGCCACGTGCTCCGCGCGCGCCAGGTATGCCGCATACTCCAGCCGCGCCAGGTGCGCCACGTTCGGGGCACGTGCAGAGTGTGTGAGGTGCGCCTGCGCACGTGACAGCGCACATCAGGAAATATGTCGGCCCCCATCGTCGTTGTCGAAAGGCAATGCCCAGCATTGTGTCTGGTGCGCCTGCACACAGCAGGCCATACGCCACCATCCCCGCCGTCCCTGTCAAAAACAACTTGGCAGTGATCGCGATGTGGCCGCGCACGATCCAGAATTAGCCGCGAGGTGCATTCGGCATTTTTTTTGTCAGGGGTGTTCGCCTTGCCCGCAGCAGGCAATATGCTGACACCCCCGCCGTCCACATCAAAAACAATACACAGTGCTCGCGGGCCTCACGAACATGACTCAATACTTCGCCCCAAAGTGTACTCTGTATTGTTTTTCGACAGGGACTGTGAGGGGGTGCATCGGTTTGGCCGCGCATGCTCCAAATGTGCAGGAAATATGCAGGCAGAGTGCGTTTTATATTGTTTTCTGACACGGATGGTGTTGGGGGGTCCGCATGGTGTCCTCATGGTTCCTGGTTGGCTGCCAGTCGCCTGGGGGAGGGAGTGTACTAATATGGAACAGTAATCAAGACACCCTCGGAGCCAACATGTTGTCTATCTCAACACAAAAGTCGCATCCGGGCCTCAGAATGTTCATTGGTCGTCTATGTGTGGGCTGCTTCTAGGAGACAAGACAGACCCCACGTGCGCGATGGGGCGAGGTGCGCCACGCTTGCCAGGCGCTCCAGG